GATTTGTTAATGATAGCCATTTTATTTGCATCTCTCAGATGGTTAGTGACTTTAAGCATATTTTCATATGTCTCTTGGCTTTTTGTATATCCACTTTCAACAAGTGTCTATGTAAGTCCTTGGCCAATTTTGTGATTGGATTGTTTATCGTCCTTTTGTTAAGTTGTATGAGTTCCCTATAAATTTTGGAGATTAAACCCTTATTGTAGATAACATTAGCAAATATGTTCTCCCATGCAGTGGGCTCTCTTGTTGATGGTTTCTTTCACTTGAAGAAGCTTTTTATTTTGGTGTAGTACCATTTGTTAATTTTCTCCTTAGGTTCCATTGTCCTAGGAGCTGTATTGGTAAAGATATTAATACTACATACATCTGATATTTTCTGCCTATAGATTCTTCTAAGATTTTTATGGTTTCCCATCTTTCATTTAAGTTCTTTATCCATTTTGAATTCATTTTTGTGAATGGTGTAAGTTGGTGGTCTAGTTTCACTTTTGCGTGTATCTGTCCAATTTTCCCAACACCATTTATTGAAGAGACTATCTTGACTCCATTGTATGCTCTTGCCTCCTTTTTTAAATGTTAATTGAGCATAAAAGCTTGGGTTTTTTTATTGTAGGTGATTTCTAATTTTAAGCCACTGTGATCTGCAAAGATGCTTGATATGATTTCTGTCTTCTTGAATTTGAAGAGATTTAGCCTGTGTCCAAATATGTGGTCTATCTTTGAAAATGTCCCAGATGCACTCTAGAAGAATGTATATTCCATTGCTTTTGGGTGAAATGTTCTGGAGATGTCAATTAATTTCATCTGATCTAGTGAGTCATTTAGGATTGCTGTTTCTTTGTTGATTTTTTTTTTGTCTAGAAGATTTATCCAGTGATGTCAATGGGGTATTAAAGTCCCCTACTATGAATGTATTGCTGTCAATCTCTCCCTTGATATCTTACAGAAGTTTTTTTTTTAATGTATTTGGGTGCTCCTGTATTGAGTGTATATATGTTTACCAAAGTTATATCCTCTTGTTGTATGGATCCCTTTAATATTATAAAGTGGCCTTCCTTATCTCTTGTTATGGCTTTCACTTTGAGATCTATTTTGTCAGATATAAGTATTGCTATCTCTGCTTTTTTTTTCACTTCTCTTTGCCTGATCTTTTTATTTTTTCATCCCTTCACTCTCAGTCTGTGTGAGTCCATTGTTATAAGTAGCTTTCTTGTATACAGCATATATATGGTTCATGTTTTCTTATCCACTCAGTCACCCTACGTCTTTTGATTGGAGCATTTAACCCATTTATGTTTAAGGTTTTTATTTATATGTACTTGTTGCCATTTTTATTTTTTATGTCTGTGTTCTTTCATCCCTTTCTATTTCTTCTTTTCACCACAGTCCCTTTAGCATTTCTTGCATTGCTGGCTTGGTGGTAATAAACTTCCTTAACCTTTTATTTTTTCTGTGAAGCTCTCGATTTTACCTTCAATTATGATTGATAACCTTGCTGGATAGAGTATTCGTGGATTCAGTCCCTTGCTTTGCATCATTTTGCATTCTTCATTCCATTCCCTTCTGGCATGATGTGTTTCTGTTGAGAAATCATTTGATAGTCTAATCAGAGATCCCTTGTAGGGATATTTCTATCTCTCTCTTGCAGCCCTTAAGATTCTTTCTTGGTCATTAATGTTTGCCATTGTAATTACGATGTGTCTTGGTGTGGGTCTTTCTGGGTTCATCTTGTTTTGGACTCTCTCTGCTTGTGTGACTTTTTTCTTCCCCAAGTCGGGAAAGTTTTCTGTCATTATTTCTTCCAATAGGTTTTCTATTCTTTGCTCCTCTTCTTGACCTTCTGGCACCCCTATTATTTGGATGTTGAGTCATTTCATGTTGTCCCAAAGCTCCCTTAAATTCTCCTCTTCTTTTTAATTTTTTTCCAATTGCTGTTCAGATTGGGTGTTTTTTATTCACTGATTCGGTCCTCTGCTTCTTCTAGTCTACTGTTGAAACTTTTCATTGTGTTTTTTTTATTGTCGCTATATCATTCATCATTTCCTCTTGATTCTTACATATGTTGTTGATTTTCTCATCTATCTGGTTTAGGAACTTTATGATCCATAGTCTGAATTCTTTTTCTGACATATTGCTTGCCTCCATTTCATTTAGTTCTTTTTCTGGCGATTACTCCAATTTTTTGTCTACCCATTTTTGCTGTCTCTTTCTGGCCCTGGGCACCATGTTGGGGGTTGAAGGTTGCAAACCCTACCAGGCCAATGGTCCAGAAATCATTAGCTCAGAGGCTGGGTCTGCCTTGAGTCTCATGCCTTTATTTTCTCTGCTCTAAGTTTTATCCCCTTCTCCCACAGATTTGGTCCCTCTGTTGTCTGCTTAAGAGTATCAGTTCCTCTGGTGTCCAACTCCCTGTGAAAATCCAGAGCCCTCTGACATGCAATTCGCTGTGTGGCCCTAGCACCCATGGAAAGGTGGTGCCCTAGGTCCCTCTGGCAGAGCACTTGCAGCATGGTACTGTGGTCCCTGGGTGGGCATACCAGATTGCTCCAGTTCACCCCAGCACTGTTCTCTTGTGGCCCAGAATGTGGCATGGGCTGGGTTGCTCCTGGTAGCCATGGCAGTACTATCCCAGGGGCTGGGGTGGAGCCGGTGTGGGTTGCTCTGGGTCACATAGTCAGAGCTCTCCTGTGGCCCAGAGCAGGCCATGTGCTAGGTTGCTCTAAATTGTCCAAGCAGCAAGCCCCTGGGCTTAGGGTGTAGTAGGCACAGGTTGCTCTGGGTCCTCACTTTCCTGTGGCCTGGAGTGAGGCCTGCTCTTTGTTGCTCCAGTTCTCCCCTTCCTGGTGTGAAGGAGGGGGGCAAGTTTCTCTGGGTCACACAGTCCACACACTCCTGGAGCCCAGAGTGAGGCGCACACTGGGTTGCTCAGGCAGGACTGTCCAAGGGTCCGGGGTGGAATGGGCTCAGGTTGCTCTGGGTCACATAGAACTCTCCTGTGGCACCGAGTGAGGCATGCACTGGGTTGCTCCAGATCACCCCTCCTGGGGCCCTGGGTGAAACAGACATGGGTTATTCTGGGACTCACAATCCATGCTCTCCTATGGCTCAGAGTGGGGCATGCACTATGTTGCTCCAGGTCACCCTGACAGAAGGTCCCAGGGCTCAGGTGGCTCTGGGTCAGACTGGAAGCACAGTTCTGGGACAGGGGTTGGGCACAGGGGTCCCCCTGGCTTGCTCTCACTGTGGGGTCCTGGAGCTGGATCCTGGGATGCTGGGTCCTGGCAGGCTGATGAGGAGGCCTGGTATGGGAGGTCACTGCAGATGTCTGGGAGCCTGCCAGGAGATACTGCACCACTCACCGCTGGGGCATGGTGGTGATTCCACCCATGTTATGGCTGTCAAGCAGCATTCTCTAGGCATCCTTTGACCTTCCTTATTGAAAATTTTCTCAGCTGTGCCTAATTTGTTAATTCCAGGTGGATGTTCTCTGATTTAGTTATTTTTTGGCCCCAGAAGGAGGTGCATAACACTTCTCCCAGACAGGTTTATAAAAACTGTTATTGTTAATTACCAGTATTTAGTTTTATGTTACTTCGTTGTTTTTTTTAATTTTTTTTTATTTTATTTTAGAGAGAAAGGAAGAAAGAGGGAGAGGTAGAAACATTGCTGAGAGAAAAACATCATACATTGGCTGTCTCCTGCATGCCTTCTGCTGGGGATTGAGCCTGCAACTCAGGCATATGCTCTGACCAGGAATTGAACTGGCAACCTCCTGGTGAATGGGTCAATGCTCAACCACTGAGCCAATAGGCCGGGCTTATGTTCTTTTTTTTATATAAAACATCCCTGTGTACAATGACTTAATTCTAATCAATTGTCTACTTTCCCCTCAATAAAACAAGACAGAACTTTCACAGCTAAATGTACAAAGAAAATACTTAAAATCTCCAGTCCAGAACATCCTTTGAGCTAATTAGTAGATCAAAGAATAACACTGTTTTTCTTCTCTCCCATTTCCAGAAGTCAGCATTGCAAGCTGAAATATATCATTGTCTAAAGAGTATTCTTTTCATATTGACCCATGGAATATACTGTGGTAATCTGAGCACTTAACAAACTATTTGTGATAACATCAATTAAACAGGCCCATGTAAAGTTTATATTATATTAGAAAACTATTTATTGATCCAGAAATCAGGGAGATCAAAATAATTATTTTCATAAAAATGCAAGAATCTTAGTTGGCAAATTTTATTGTCATACCTATATAATAAAAGCCTAATATGCTAAGTGTCCAACCATTTGTTCGACCAGTTGCTAGGACATGCACTGACCATCAGGGGACAGATGCTCTGACTGGTAAGTTAGCATGCTGCTGGGGTCCAGCCAATTAATACTGGGTGAGATGGTCCGGACATGCCCTGGAGACCTCACATGGTCCCTCCCTGGCCCCAACCGTGCACCAGTAGGGTCCCTCAGCCTGGCCTGCACCCTTTTGGATCCAGGACCCCTCTGGGGATGTTGGAGAGCTGGTTTTGGCCTGATCCCCACAGGCCAGGCCGAGGGACCCCACTGGTGCACGAATCCGTGCACCAGGCCTCTAGTATAAAATAAAATCTTTTTTTCTTTCTTTTTTTTTTTTTTTTTTTTTTGATAATCTATTCAGAGTACTATCCATGACCAGAATAAGGGATTGGGATCACCTTCCCAGCATTTTTAATATACACCCTTGGGGGTTTTCACATTACTGTCAGTATCTCATGAGGGAACAAACAACATTTGTTTATTAGGTAACACAACAGCTGATGGCATCTAGAGATGTTATTCTGAATGAAATAAAATGTGCTATGAAAAATGAATTAGGGAGAAAATGGGGAAAAACATACTATGGAAAACTATACTCTTTCATTCTACAACCAACACTTCAAGATGTCACTGTGTACACTTTGTTAATTCAGAGACATTTTGCTTTCCCAAGCTGGCTGTCCACTTACCCGAGTTGTTTTCACTTTATTCCCGGAGGAGCAGCTCCATCCTTTCCGATCAGGAAGAACTTTACATTCCTCTCCCTCAAGACATGGCTGCATATGACACCACCATTTCTGTTCCACTATGGAAGCTACGGGAGATAGAAGAATAGATGCAATGTTTTCTGTTGGGTTTGTTCATTCTCTGGGTGCACATTTAAAGAAAAAGCCACCAATTTTTCCTATAACTGGTTAGACTGTGTTTTAGGTTTTAGGGTCTGCCTGCCTTTTTTTCCCCCCCAAAGGCTAAATCTAGATTTTCTGAGTAGAATAATTATTTTAATTTTACTTTATAGTGGTAAGAATACTTTACATGAGACTTACCCTTTTGAGTCTTTAAACATACAATACATAATAAGCACACTGTTGAATGATTTTCCATGGGAATATATAGGCTTCATGAAAACTGATATATTTGAAAGAAACTAATAGTATGTATTCATGAACTGGTTTACATAAACAGATAAGCAAATAAGCCCCTGACCAATTTAGAGTCAATATTTTAGAATAAATGTTATATTTCCCACAGTAGGCTGAAAATCACAGGGCATTAGAGTTAATACAATTTTTTTTAATTTCTTTTTTATTGTGGGTAGTAGCCAACTTCACAAGATATAGACCATGCTAATATGAGCACTTAGATTATTATTTATGGTAACATCAATTAAATGGCTGAATATCCTATTCTAATTAGGTAAATATTAAAGAAATGAACATTCTGATGCATCTTTATAATAACCAACATTTTGTCTAAATTCTATCCACAACTAAATAGTCTCTCATGTGCATGATGTTCATTTTTCATCCTTAAAAACCCATCCATGGCATTTAGAAATTCATATTATTTAATCATCTGTTTTCATCTTTTCTTTCCCAATTAATTTACATACACATATCCTCAGCTGGTAAATCAGTATTTCATGGCATCAAAGAAGCATTTGAACTTGTTGGAGCCCCATTATAATGCCATTTATTATGAAACTGGGTAAGACCTTATACCTCCTTCCAAAGGATTTTGGATTTCAAAATGCCTTCCAAATAACCTCATATCAACCACATAATCTATACTGTGGTCCCTCGGAATTGGCCCCATCAATAGCATTACAGTGGGGTTCCAGTTCTAAGCAGTCCCCAGCTACACTACCGCAATGAGCAATGTAAAAGTCGCACCATCCACGCAAGATGGAGCAGCTCGCGTCGTGCCTGCCACCTGCCCGGGGAAGCAGGAGCACTTGACAGTTTGTGACCGTTCTTCTATCTTGTTCTTATTACAGCATCTGTGGAGTGCCACCACCTCGCAAGTGCCCGTTTTAACATGGTGAGCTGTACAAACAAAAACAAAAGATGAGACATTAAGAAAGCTTTGGACACTTCCTTCTTCTTTTTAATTAGCAGTGCATTAAATATAGCTCTATAAGGGACCCACCAGGCATGAAACTAGACCTACAATGATGCTGACTCCATAATGGAAGTTGATTTCTTTTCTAAATGTGGCAGGACCATTTCTGCCAGTAAATGCTTGGTGAAGCAGGGATAATTAGTGACTAGATTAAAATAAGCTGTTAGAACAGTCTGAAATAAAGGAGCAATATATAGTGCCATCAAAACGTATTTAGTTGTATGTGGCTTCTCTTTACACCTTTTTGTTCAACATGTTAAAGTAAGGTAAACCCCTGGACAAATATGCTACGGTGGGGCTGATGGTTAATATAAAGGTTATGTTCTTCTGGGGGTGAGTGTAAGGTCAGGCAGAATACCGATTTTCAAGAAGCAATGATGAAGGGAGGATTTCCCCCTCCTTACTATTCATCTGTACAGTTTCTCTAGAAATGAATTAATTGGCTGATTCTTGAAATTGTTATTATTGTCCCAAAAGTTCCAGCCAGTTTCAGAACCCAAAAATCATTCCTTCCAATTTTGCCTGTGGGGACAACTGCCACCAAATGGCACCAAGTACAGCCAGAACTTGGGTGGATTTATATCTAGCCTAGAAACCCAGTCCAAAAAGCTGTGAGGTCCCCTACCCATTTCATCCACGTTGCAGTAAGGCTATGAAGGTGAAATTTTGGGACCTGACATCAGATTATGATGAGGTTCTATTAATCCTACTGTGACATGATAAAGCAAAAGTTTCATCTGCTAAAAACAAAAATAGCTTAGAATCCAACATTTATTGAAATACTATACTTTCAGAAATTTTAAAAAATGATTGCTATAAAAACAAATCTACTTTAATGTTATAAACATATTGAAGAGAGCACATTATGCATTTATAATATTTTTTGGCATTTATAATATTAATCTTCCCTGGGAGATGAGGAACCATTGTGCAGTAACTCAGGTTAGAGAACTCCTTTAGATTTTCCTTGTGAGAAAGAGGAAATCACACATATTATCCACCTCATACCTCCATGAGAGATCAAGAAGCTCAAGTATGACATACAGCTTTGACACGTAATTCTCAAAAGAGCTTTTAAGAAGCAAATATCATTTCCAAAGTCACAAAGCTACCCTACCAAAGCTAAAAACTGAAGAGCAAGACTTCTATTCCCCATGCTTTGTTAGTAGCCTCCCCATGATAATTTCGTTCAATCTATGACTTGTACCTATTGGTTTAGGTCTCTTAAGTGTAAATCTACAGCCCAGATTTCTTTCCTAAGCTCTATTTCATAAGTGATGCTGCCTGAATTATATCTCTCCTTAAGTGTCTTATAAGGAGCTCACATTTAGAGAAAAAAGAGAACAAAAGACATTCTAGCCCAACCTATTTTTTGCTAAATTCTCCTTTCCCCAAGACTTCTCTATCTACTTCTGAAACATACTTTCTTAGCTAATTATGATTCCATTTGTTTTAATTTATTTAATGTTTTGTGTTATACAAGTGATCATACTGCTTTCTACACTATACATAGTCACATTTTAATTGAGTCAATACCACACATCAGGCATGGTTCTGAGTTCTAGGGTTGCAGCAGTGAATAAGAGGGACATAGACCATGTCCTCAAATAGCTCATATTCCTCTGAAGAAAACAAATAATAATGCCTAAGTTAATGATTCCATAGGACAATATTAGATTTGTAAGTGCTTTGAAGGAACTGCAGTATGTTTTTGAGAGTAATTAAGGACAGAGAAAATGTATATTTTAGCAAGAGTCTCAAGGAAGACCTCTCAAAGAGGAACCTGAATAATGACCCGAGCGAAGAGAAGGAAGCACCCATTATGAAGATCTAAGGAAGAGCATTCCAAAGAGAAAGAGCAGCAATGATAAGGTACCAAATGGGCAAAAGCATGGTATGTTCTCAGGACAGGAGGATGACCAGTGTGGCTGAACAACTGAGAAGTCAAGGGAAAGGTGTCAGAAATGTGGGAAGATCATGTAGGGTCTGGTATGCCACAGTAAGGAGATGGGACTTGAATCTCATTGCAAGGGAAAGTCTTTGGGTAGAAATGGTATTATCTCATTAACACTTTAGACATTTTCTCAGGCTGCTCTTTAGAGAAAGGAACGGGGGGGGGGGGGGCGGAAACAAGCAAGAGTGGAATGAGGGAAACCAATTATGAAGAGACTGCAGGAGTCTAATTGATAAAGGATGGAACTAAGACTATACTAAAAGCAGCAGACTTGTGGGAAAGTAGCAGGTTAGGAGTATTTCAGTGCAGGGTTGGTTTGACTTGCTAATGGGTAGAATGTCAGCTGTGAGGGGAAAAGGAATTAAGGATTACTCCTAAATTTGTCCTGAGGTTGGTGGTGTTGGTAAATAAAGTCTTGGGGAAAGGAGAATTTGGCAAAAGATGGGTTGGGCTAGAATGTCTATAGTTCTCTTTTTTTCTCTGTTAAATGTGAGATCCTTACTCAAGTAGAGATATAAATCAGGCAGCATAATTTATGAAATATCATTTATGAAATAGAGCTTAGAGAAGAAATATGGGCTCCAGATTCACACTCAAGAGATCTGAACCAAATTACCATGGAAAGGCTACCAGCAAAGAAGGGGAAAATGTCCAAAATATAGACTTGCAATGAAGGAAACAGAAAAAAAAAAAGACTGATAAGACCAACACATGGGGTGCGAGAAAAAAGAACCCAAAGTAAAGACATAGAAACCAAAGAATAAAATGTTTCAAGAAGAAGGGATTGATCAGCTATGTCAAATGCTACCGAAAGGTTCAATAAATTAAACGAAATAATTGTCCCTTAGAAAAGTAATATGATGTAGTGGTTAAAACCAAAGTTGCTGGGTTTAAATCTAAGCTCCTCCTAGCAGCCGTGTGATTTTGGGCAAATTACCAATATCTCTGAGTGGCAGTCTTTTGAAAGGGCGAGGGCTAGGCCCTCCACCTTGCCCCAGGGTAAGGGCTACGCCCTCCACCTTGCCCCAGGGTAAGGGCTACGCCCTCCACCTTGCCCCAGGGTAAGTGCTCCATCTTACCTTGGCCACGTGCTTGGCAAGGAGCTTCTTCCCGGAAGTCTAAGCCTCTGCTAGCCACACCCAGGAACAAGACACCGACTTGTGCCTGGCCAATCGGCAGAGCACAGTCCTTTCTCCTCCCCTTACTCCAAACCCCTATATAACCCGTCTCCACACAGAGTTATCTCTCTCTGCTTCCTGTCGCTGCGTCGGCAAGGTGGGGGAGCCGAGCTAGCTCGAATAAAGACTCTTATGCTTTTGCATCGGACTGGCTGGCTCCCTGATGTGGTTTCTTGGGGATCCTGAAATCTGGGCATAACATCTTTCATGTCTAGAACAGAGATGTTAATAGCATAATCTTCATATGGCTGGTTTGGGAATTAAATGATTTATCATGTATCAAGTATTTAGAACACTTCCCGACTCATCATTGGCACTCTGTTAGTATTGTAAGCATTTCAACTTAACAAAATCATTTTAATGGCCTGATAAAGTCATGATTGAAGTATGTTTGGTACAGAATAAGATGTAAAACTGTACAATTATAAAAATTTCTTTCATGGAGTTTTTCTGTGAAAGGAAGAAAGAAACAGATACCATAAAAGCATGCTTACTTGCTGGAATGATCTGGTAGAGAGATCAGTCAATATCGGAGAGAAAAATGGATAATTGAAAAAGAATGTTCTTGAGAAGGAAAAAGGAATTGAGATTCAGGGCACCAGAGAGGTTGGCATTAGATTGATGCGGGGACACAATCCATTTGACTGAAGCAGGTAAGTGTGAGTGAGTGGATCAGGAGGTGAGAAGATGAGGCAGTTTCTTATATGATTTTATCTAGTTTTTCTATGAAATATGAGAGATGTTTCAGAATAAAAAAAAGAGTACTAGTACATGAAGTAAATATCTCAAAAAGAGGAAAGCAAGTTTACCTATAAAGGGCAGTAGATAATCTGGCAGGAAGTTGGCTGACACACCCTGTGAAGTGCAGATGGCACAGTGGATGGAAGTAGAGGTGGCATACTGAGCAGAATTAAGATAAACATCTCTGTGATATTGGATTGTTTGGTATGCTTAGAATTTTTATAGTGATATAGGAAAACAGAGATGTTAATCATGAGGCAATTAATCCTGCCACTCTTTGAATGGAAGCCAGGTTAGAGATAAGATATTACTAGGATTCTTCAGATAGTGAAGCTGCTAGGCAGAGTGCTGAGCAGAGATAGTGTCAGAAAGAGTTTGGTGGTGGCTAGGGCTCTCTGGTCTTCCCAGACTATGGCAGCCAGGAGCACACAGTAGGTTGCACCAACCTCTCCCCTGAGAAAAAAAGGCATAATTTCAGCACCAAGGCCATTTTACCAACTTTGTTACAAGGAAGATTTTATCATACATTGAAAAAGACCCTTAATCTGATTTTTTTCCCCAAATGCCAATATCAAAAGTTTGACTTGGACAAGAAAAGTAAGAGGATAAAAATCAGTGTGGTAGTCATTAGTGCTGTTTACAAAATATTTCCGGTTCTCTCCTTTCTGGGGTGCGGCAATACTATATTTCTCCACCCAATTCAATTTAGATGCAGTGATGTGACTTGTTTAGGCCAATGAGATGAAAGTTAAATAATATGAGTCACTTATGAGAAGAGGGAAAGGATAGCAGTCTGTGTGGACAACTAATCTATGACAAAGGAGGCAAGACTATACAATGGGTTAAAGATAGTCTCTCCAATAAATGGTGTTAGGAAAACTGGACAGACACATGAAAAAATGAAACTATAGCATTTTTTATATTACATATAAAAATAAACCTAAAATGGAACTATAGCATTTTTATATTACATACAAAAATAAACCTAAAATGGATTAAAAACTTAAGTGCAAGACCTTAAACTATAAAATTCTAGAAGAAAACATAGACA